CCGGAAAATAAACTTGTTTCAATGGCTTTTATAACCAGATAAGATCCAAAACGAGGTACTCGTGCCAAGTATCACAGAAAGACTTGAACAATAACGCATTGCAAAGAGCGACATTTAGATTAGGTTATTAAATGAGGGGAGGAGGTTATGCGTGTATAACACATTTGCGAGCACTTGGGAATTTTTTGAACCAATTTCTGCTGTCTTTCTTGAATCAGTGTTTTCACTGACTTCAGCGGGAGTTTTGCTTGCATAAAAGCTTCCGAATTCAGTGCCAGGTTTAAACATTGGGGTTGCAATCCGTCTGGAAAGCCAGAGGAATTAAGATATTTGCCCTGCTCTTGCTGCACTGGAGCTGCCTCCCTAGCACCCTCGTGCTCCTTGGAAAATCCCAGCTATAGTTTATCTGAAATTAATTTGCCCACACTGTTAAGTCAATTACCCAAAGGAACAGAGACTCGATTAAAAATCTATTTAGTTCAATAGGAAACAGTATACTTGGGATCAATTTTTTTTTTCCTCCTTGACTGCAAGGAATCTTATTGTATCCCTGTATAAATAATAAAGGTGGTGCACTATCCTCTCCTGCTCAAGCATGACTGAGCAGATACAGATTGTGCATAGCTCGTGTCAGGAGCATCCAAAGAGAGACGGGATGACGGGTATCTCAGACACAACCTCCATCGCAGGGCAGGTTCCTGCTCCATGGGGTAACCCAACGGGTGGCTCAGACACGCTGGGCCACAGATACCTCTCGCTCCCCACCTTTCCAGAGGACGGTTGTACCTGTCTCACTTAGAGAAATGTTCCTATTGTCAAGCCTACAGCAAACTGTGTCCAGACAGATTGGTGTTCTGCTCAAAGGAGTCCACATGAATCATGTATTAGTTCATTTAAAAGCACTTTGTAGACAAACATGCTCACTCTATCAGCAGGCACGGGGATGCAAATACTTCACTCAGTGTATATGAGCCCTGACAGGACATCTGTGATGCATGGCATTGAGAAACAGCTCATTCCGGAAAGATTAGGCAATAACGAGGAAAAAGGCTCACCGTATTTTGTTCTTTTTTTCAGCAAAATGAAAATTTAACTTCGCCATCCTGTTGGAAACGGAGTAAACATTATCAGCTGAAAACTAGCAGCAGGAGGAAGTAAATGATTTACAAGATATTCTTCAATCATTTAGCAGAAACACAGGAGTTTTTGGTTTAGGGGCTAGAGTACTCTTGCAGAAGGCAACTGTTCTCCAGGAGCCTTAATGCCAATACACCTGCTGCGGGGGACTGCTTTGGAGGTGAGGAAGAATTAGAAACATTCAATAAATGCTAAAGACATCTTTTGTGCACTATCTGCTTGGCAGATGCCGATTGCTTCCTGTAAATTAAAGCAAGTTAATGAGTGTGCACGATAGCAAAATATTTGGTGGACTCTCATTAGCAGATACAGTGCACGGAATTAATTTCACTGAGAGAATTGTGGAATAATTTATATATAGAAAGTGTAGTTTGCAAAAGCATCCTGGAAGAGATTCAGACATGCATGGACTTTGTAAGTAATTCCAAATTAATTTAACTTGTGAGGCAAAAGACTAAAATGTTATAAATACTGTAAGAATGAGTGCCAAAGCCAAAGCTTTAAAGTGGGAATAACATTGTTTTCAGTCTCTGCCTCGACACCGGTGATTTACAGGAATATCTTCATGTACTTATCATGAATGCAGTCCCTCCAGTTGCACAGTGCTCTAATTTTCTGCTAGTCCTGGGCTTTTCCAGCTGCTAAGCTGGTATGTTTATTAACTTTATCCCCTATTTCTTTTAATTACATGGTCAAATATGAGTGAATCCTATTGTCACATTAAATGAGTTTGGGGTTGTTCTTTTTTTTGATCCTCAGAAAATGCAGGAATTCATTTGTTCTCCTGAAGCCCTAATTTTTTCTTAGCAGTAAACCAAGTACTGGAAGTAGTAACCCAGGCAATCAGAATATTGTTACTGTTCCCTGAAAGGTAATATTTTTGAATAGCTCTGCATATTTAACAAGGAAGATGTGTTTTGAGCAATTTTTAATAAAGTAATATTTTACTTTTCCCATTTCGCCCTTGTAGGAAACTGCAAAGATCAGTTCTGGATTGAGATTGCATCCCCAGTCTTGGATCCTTTAACATCCCAGAAGGCACACATGAAAAAGAAAAATCCCTCTACTTACACTGTGAATAGGTGCTAACAGCTTTAAAGAATTACCTACCAAATATTAGGTGCAATTTAAAACTACATTTAAAGCAGCAAGGGTAGTTTAAAAGTCTGCGTGGCCAGCTAAAAGTCAGAGAGAGAAAATTACTTGAACACGTGTTGGATGAATTTCTGTCTGTGTGGGAGATATCGCACTGGTGGGATAATATATCCTCTGTTTAAAATAATTGGGGAGGTTCTATACCTGGTCTGCTGTACGCCACACAATTCAAAATCTGGTCAAATGCTTTTAGATAATTTCCATTTACTATAAAAAGAAACACAACTATGCTATCTAAGCATTGTGGAAGATTATTTATATTGAAAGACATCCTTAGGCTAAACTATTAAATGAGGATAATGGATATGAGCCACCTAAGGCAGGCGGAGGACTCGTTAATGAATTACTTGGTGAAACAAAGTCGGATGCTCAGGTAGAGGCTGGGTTGGAGTAATGTGCTTTTAGAGGAGCAGCGGTGCTGAGGAGGGGTCACGGCGTGTGAAGAGCTGGAAAATGCATGATGAAATGTTCCATACATTACCCTCCACCTGCTCCCAGGGCTGTCCAAGGGCCGCTCAGTTACACGGTACAATATTTACCCAGTATATTGTGTGTTATATCAATTTGAACACACACTGTAACTTATTAGATATTTATTAGCTTACACTTTAAGCCCCAGTCTATTTTGCAACCCCCGATGCCCCCTGTTTTATGTAAAAAGGATATTTTAATAGATATAATTTAAATTAGTTCCTAACTTGATAACTCGTTACAGTCTGCTACTCTAATGAAACCTGCACTAATGACTGCCTTCAGTAGGCAATCCCTAATTTTAAGAAGCCATTTTAAAATATTCATAATGTATCTGGTGCAGTGTTGTTTGAACTGTATTTAATAGACATCTCGACTGGGCTTTTCCCTGTGGTTTGTAGAAGTCACTGTCAACAGTGATTCCTCCAGCCCTGTCTTTGGTGGCTGTGGGCTGGGATCAAGGGCCACATCTTTGGTCCTGGCAATGAGGACAGAGACCCCACGTGTCCTGTGCATTCCAGGGGGAGCACCACCTGACACATATGTTGGTCCTGGCAATGAGGACAGAGACCCCACATGTGTTCTGTGCATCCCGGGGGGAGCACCACCTGACACATATTGGAAAAATAACCTCAAATGAATTAATGGCCCAAAACATAATTGGGAATATTTTTTTTTTTATGGATTTAATCAAGATGTAAGCATCTAAAAAGCATTAGCCCAATGTCTCTGTTGGCAGAAGAGCAACTGTGACAACTTGTGTTTGTGTTGACAGCTAAAGGAGTTGTCATTCAGTCAACTGACAACTCAATTAATGAGTCACTCTATGACTTTTACCCCTACATGGAGGTAGGGTAGATGAGACACATCTGAAAACTTGTGGGGTTTTTTTCCTAACAGGACATTGTCTAAAAATAACTCAGGAATTTGTCAGAGCCTGCACCTCTCCAGACCTGCTCGTGCCAGGAGAGCCATCAAGGCACGCCAGGCAATGCTTCCCATCCCACCTGGATCAGCAGGACCTCCTAAAGTGGCCTCTCCCTCCACTCCTCTTTCCTTGGATGTTTTACTTCCTAATTAATGCAGAAATTGTCCTTCCAGCCCCAGCAGGCTGCCTGGAGAGGACGTACTGGGGAGTGGGGGAAGCACAATCATTGCACATAACCCCACCAGACACCCCGTGCTTCCCTGCTGCCACCCCCAAAGAGCATCTCTGTCCTTTAAGTGCCATCCTGCTTCCTCAGGGGGCTCCTAATGCAGTTCTCTCCTTCTGCCTCACTGGCTGCCAGGGAAGGATGCGCTCGGGGCCTCTGCGCACCCCGCAGCAACGAGCAAAAAGGGAAAGTCAATATACAAACTGTGGTGATTAATATTAAATACTGAATGTGCATCTAAAGAGGGTGTTAATGTTAATGACAAAACAACAACCAACCAACAAACGGCAGGGACGTAAGACAGCCGAACACTTGTAGATGTGGAGGCGTTGGTGACAGATGCTAAAAGCTGCTTTAAGCCAGTCTTTGTCTCATGCTTTCATTTTGGTGTTGCTTATAACAAATTTACCTTGATAAAATACATAAGGCAAAAGTTAGATTTAACCTTTGCCCAGATGCAATGACTTTATCCGCAAACATGAAATTATTCTCTGAATGCAAATTACCTGCTGAGGTAATTAGCACTCACAAACGAATATAAAATCATTTGAACCATAATCTGACTACTGGTCGTTATAGGGGTTGTCCCACTCACCACCAAATATGGGGGCCATCCGTACCCCGGTGTTACTGGGACATCCAGCTGGCATTCTGCGTCGCCTCCTTTGTCATCTGTGAGAAAACAAACAAACCAAAAATCTCCCTCAGTGGCAATTTCCAGGAGAAGAGAGCACCAAATGGATTTTAAACAGGCCAATCCCCAACACATGAACAGAGTTGGGGCCAAATGTCCTGCCTGGGGCCATTCAGCAGGACCCTGCTGCCAAGCCCTGGTCCCTAGCTCAACACCTCGTCCGTGATAAAAAGCTGGTCTTTAAATCAAAGGCAGCTCACAACGAAAAAAAAAAAAACAACCCAAAGACATAAATCTGCATTGGCTACCAGCCCAGTGTGATCTTCCAGTATATTTTTGCTGATGCTACTTCTGGGATGGGACAAAGGAAATGGATGACACCGAGACATTGGTGGCAGGAAGACCACCAGATTACCCGTAAAGAAGGGACAGGCGAGCGGGTGTAGATGACATTGCTGTCATGGGCTACAAGTTCATCTCCAACTTTTTTCCTGCCTCCTTGGAACTGCAGCATCTCAGTTAACCTGGCACCACGTCAGAAATGTGCTGAGAAGGACTTCATCAGAAAGACGTCGTACTTTGTGCCCCTAGAATGCAACAAAGGAGCAGGGTTCATTTCAGTAACATTTTTAGGAAAACAGAAACCATCCCAACTACTGTAAGGGACCTGAAATTCTTTTGTCACTGCAACACAGGCATCTTTTTTTGTTGAAATTCACTTAACTTAACTTCACAACTTAAAACAGTGATGCAATGGGCATTTCTCTGAGAGATGTCCAAATCAGATGTACAGCACAACCAAAAGCCAGGACTTCAGCTCCAAAAATATAGGGATTGGCCTCTGCTTAAACAACTGTTATGCAAATAGTTCCAAATTATTCCACCTAAGGTCTTGGTTTTGGCAGTTGCTTATTTAACCCCATTCTGCTATTACTAAGGACCTCAACATACCCATCTATGGGACATTATCAACAGATGAAATAATAAGTTACAGCTGGGTACTCTTCATAAGTAGAATCAATCAAGGTGGACACAGTCAACCACTCAAAACAGTTATAAAATTTCCTTTTTTCTTTAAGAAAGAGAACAATAAAATCTGCTAATCCATTTGTTTTGGGTTGGTGGTGGTTGCTGTTTTGGTTTGGTTTTTTTTTGTACAAGAGAATGAAAATCTGTTGCAGTTGTAACTTTTACAGTATGTCAAATATTTTCTTTTTTCCCTCTTCCATAATTATTTTTACAGAGAGCTGTTCTTTCAATCAGGTCACTGAACTCTGAAAAACAAACCTTCAAGGCTGCTTTTGAAAAATTGAACCTTACTTTCCTTTCAATCGAAAGATTCACAACTTTCGTGTGTGAGCCAAGACTCAAAAAATAACATAAATCCTTTCAATGCTGTCTCTCTCTCTGCCTGTGTAACAGATATTTCTGCTAACATTTACTTTTGTAATTTTTCACATTATTCTAGCTCTCAGAGGTTAATATTTACCATTCATTTTGATATTCACAAACTACAGAGGTAGGCTTGCAAATATCCGCCCTGGGAAAATGAGCAGCTCTGCCAGAAAATATGTTCAAGTTTCTTTGTGGAACTGGGGGAGACAACATGCCATTGACAACGTTTCACTGGATTCATCTGTTGGCGTCTTAAACATCTGCACAATCAATTCATACAGTACAACAATTGGTATTTAAAAGGGATAACCAGATAATTACAGCAAATGCTTTTTAGTCCCTTTGAACAGCAAACGTGAATTGGGGAAAAAAAGCTTAAAAAAAACCCACAGTGAATGGACAGCAAACGTGAATTGGGGAAAAAAAGCTTACAAAAAACCTACAGTGAATGGAGATATGTGTGTATATATATATATGGGGTAAACCACTTATATATATATATATATATATATATGGGGGAAACCACAGAAATCATACCCTTAAACTGAGACCACACACTCATTTTCGGGTAGGCACCTACCAATACAAAAGAGACTGCATGGCAGCAAAATTGAACAGCAGACAGAGCTGCCTGCGAAAGCTGACCCACTACTTGCAATAATATCAAATCATAAATGAATTAATTTGCTTGCTGACCAAGTAGTTTGCCATATTAAAGTGCAAGTTTGCAAGACATGTATTCTATTATCCCAGATTGCACTCTTGACACTTCACATTATGAACATTTAGCATTCATCCTTTGATATTTTGAACACTGACTACAATGAAGCTGTCAGCACAAAGGAATTTTTTATTCAATTTTCAGATGTAACAAGCAAGGATCTTACAGAACCGTCATTAAGAACACTGAAACCATCGAGATTTGATTATTGAACTATGAAAGGCAAAAGAATATCTTGATGGGTGCAGTTTTTGAGAGATATGAAAAAGTTTGTGAGAGATAAGGGAAGGGAAGGGAAGGGAAGGGAAGGGAAGGGGTTTGGAATCATCAAGTCTATATTGTATGCTCCTGGAAAAAAACAAAAACAAAAAAACCAAAACAAAAAAAAAACCCACACAAAACAAACAAAAATAAAACCACAAAAAAACCCCAAAACCCCACCCCAAAATATAAAAAAAAAAAAAAAAAAAAGAAAATAAAATTAAAAAGAGAGATCAGTGTATTTTGATCATCAAAAGCTCCATAATCTGGACTCAGTCATCAGCAGGGAGGGCAAACCCCTCACAGGGACAGCAAACTTGTTTTGTCACATCTTAGCATGTAGCTAAAATTCTAGGGCAAGTACCAACTCCCCCAAAACTAGGATGCAATTAGCAGCCCACCCAGCCTTCTGAGGTAATACAAGAATATATTTTTATATATGTATATGTGTGTATATATATATTTACAGACCGCATGAAACTAAATTTAATAAACATTCCAGGAAGGAAGGGACTTGGCAGAATAGTCAGACAATGAAATAAAGGGTTTTTACTATTTACTACATGGCTGTATTTTAAGACCTTGTAGAAAATGAACTCCTTGGTGATCACATTCCAACGACTTTGGAAATGTTTCTCAGTACGCCATGTTGTATCACTTACCGCTGGACAGTGATTGTTTTAAAGCCTCGATATAAGACACAAATATTTGATTAAAACAAATTCCACCCTAAGCCTGGGTGTTCTTTTTTTATGAGGGATTCAGATACAGAAGTGAACCGAATGACTACGGTCTGCTGATGTCCCAACAGCACCGACTGTGCGAAAGTTCAACTGTACAGGGATTCATTTGGAGTACTCACCACCGCTGAAAATAGTAATAAATAGTGTTTTGCAATGCTCTTTGCATTTCTTTATCTGTCCTTATTGTGTCTGAGCCGCACAGCTGAGAACACCGGTTTATCTCATCTCCTTCATCAGAGCTGCAATTGGAGCATATACAAGCAATAGTTTTTTAAAGTGCCACTAGACTCATAGCGGTATCCAGGTAACAAAATAAAATAGCAAATGAGAGAGAGAAGACTGGAGGTCGTGGAAATACGGCCCTATAAAGATACACCTCAGATTCCTATGCATACTCAAGTAACAAGGTAGGACTGCAGGGAACAAGTTGATGGTTTCTTCGTGCAGTGCTGCAGACAACTACGCTTTTTCACTCAAATTCATTTGCTTACGGGGAACCAGGGAAATTTTGACTAGAGCCGGCCAAAGCTTAATCTTTTCAGTCTATAAAAAATTTAAACAGTTTGCTCCCATTTCATAAATGTTGACATTTCCCACGAAGGGAAAAAATATCATATCAGAATGTTTCCTTAAAAAGAAATGGGGAAGGACCCTCCAGCCTGGAAAGGCGAGACCCACAGTTCTGACCCTCTGCCAGGAAAGCAACAGCATCAGGGGCTCCCCGACTGGGGGCTGTGGGTGCTCCTGGGAGCTGGGGCTCCACATCTGGGGGACATCACCGCCAGGCTCAGCTTGACCCTCCCTGCACAAACGATTCCGTGCTGATGTAGGGAGATATGGGTGGTGTGAGATAGGTGTGGTGGAGCCTCCTAAAAACTGGCAGTTGCTTGGTGTGGTCCCTGGAAACCCATGAAGTAAGCAAGCTGCTGACCTGGTAGAGGCTGTTTGTCCCAGGTATCAATAAGAGCTTCTGCAAAGTCCTTCACCTACAAGGAGCATATATGGATAGGAGGAAAAAGAAAAGGAAAAAAAAAAAAAAAAAAAAAACCACCAACAACCAATTCAAGCTATGCATAACCCTGCCAAAGCAGCTTTTGTAATTACTTCCTCAGGAGAGCACTCTGACCTGCATCTCCTGTTCTTGGACAGAAAGGGGACCTCATTGTAGAGACAGCTCTTAGGCGGAAAAAAAAAGGAAAAAAAAAAAAAAAAAAAAAGATTATCCTTGTAGCATCATCAGAGGACACTAAAATCCACAATGTCAAGAACCAGAGCTGTGGGAAGGTCCTGTGTGTTCCTTTACTCAGGGGTCAACCTCACGCAGGGTCTGGGTTAGCAATGGGCTGAGTCATGCTCCAGCCATTCCCTTAAAGAGAAAAGGAATAAATAATGGACCTGACCCTGAGCTGTGATAAACCTACACCATGATTTTTGTTGTGTGTGAGGCCCTGATGCTTCAACACGGCCAATGTCCAAAGAAAATCCCACAAAACTCCACCTGGTTGCAGAAGTGCCTTCTGTGAAGTTGAGGTTTGGATGTCTAAGTGGGATGGGGGTAGATATTCCACACCTAATACAATGCAGCTGAACAGGAGACCCAGAGCACTAGTTTTCCTTCTGCCATTTAACATACCTCATAACCCCGAGGACATTGTCTTAAACAAAGGCTTGAACTCTGAATGAATTGTAATTCTCGCAGCCTTGAAACCCAGGAGAGCGCAATCCTTGCCAGAAAGATCCTGAAGGGGAGAAGAGAAAAAAAAATAAATAAACTTGATAATTATGAAAAAAAGAATATGCACATCCATAGTTTTGCTAAGTTTAGGATTGACTAGAAGAATCAAAGTAGTAGCCTGGAGAGAAAATCTGTATTTGAGGTGTGAGGTTAACTGACAAAAATCAAACTTAAGACTGAAGACTTAAAGAAGAGCTAAAACCTACAAGAAACCTTACAAGACAAAAGTATCACATTACTTTTTATGACCAAGAGGCAAAACTAAGAAAAATATTTCAGACAGAAGAGCTGTTATTCTTGTAGCTTTGAAACAATACGTAACTAGCACAAAAGATAATATGAGACAAGACAGGTAATCCAATCATTTTAGAGTTTATGACTGCAATCTTCTCCACATGAGAGACTTGATTGTGCTTCATTTCTTTCCACAAGTGAATAAATTCAGGGAATCACAAGCACGATTATTCAGATTCGTGTTTTCTTCTCAGGCTTCAAAAGTCAGAATCAAAGGACCAGTGGCCTTGAGTGCTGCAGGGAAACTTCATACATGAGCCTGAATTATATCCGTACATGAAGCAAAATTAATATAAACACTACTGCTCCACCAGTATTTTTTTCTTTAACAATCGCAATTTAGAATATTTCTTATTCCCATTTAATATATGGAAAATATGGAAGTCTAAAGACGAAGAAACTAGCAGTACTGAAGGAGAGTGTGCTATGGCTAAGGAAATGTTGTTATCAGTGACACCCTTCTTTCTGACACTGGAATCTGCAGCAACGTCTGTGTCTTGAGCAACGGCAAGGACATTATTTTGATTAGTTGGACATAACACAGACACAGGTACAGTGCTTGGGAGGTTTGCAGTGACTAAGTCTGAATCTTAGAATTCAAAGTTCCTGCTCACCTGCCTAATCCTGAACTGATTCTGGAGTCTTGAACTCTTAAATTACAAATTTTGGTCATTTCTAGTTTCATATACAGCTTTCCACCCACACTAAGGCCCTACATCTTCTCAAGATACCCGGAATGGGAAGCCCCCATCCGTGTAGCTGTACCTGGGGGGCACTTACGGCACAGTCAGCTGGAAGGTACAAAGTGGGAGGTTTCTCCTTTCCAAACACAGCTTGGGGGGAAACCCCTCCTGGTACACAAAGGCTCAGTGTCAAAAGGGTTCACACCAGCCAGGGAAGAAGCAGAGTCTAATTTCTCTCTAACTTCCTGAACGATTTTTTTCAGCTCTTTGGGTTAAAAGCATATGCATTGTGCTGGCAAACCTTCTACTTTTCAGAAAATAACGACATCCTCACGGCTAGATATACTAGCTTACAAGCAATTAGGGCACTTCCTTGAGAGAAAGGAGACCCTGACCAAGTTCAAGGACTCTCTTATTTATTTTACATTAAGCAGTCATTGAAGAAAATGCAGAAAACTTAGAAGAGCAGAGACTGAAACTTTGCGCTGTGATAATTATATTATCGTAGCAAAGAACACACACAACCACCACCACCTGCTTAGTCTTCCCTTCCTCTATTCTGCTTTTCTGGGAGGAGATTGTGTGTAACTGGCTACCTTAAACAAAGGACCGAGGCTCAGGGAGGTGTGGGATTAGGTGCCTCTAACATCAGTGTTCCCCATTGATTAATCTGGGCACTGAGGACCTTTGCTGTCACAGGTAACTAGGGCTTTCCAAGATGCTAAACACTCCCCAGGCACCTCACGGGCAGTTCAGGCATCTAAATTAGTGCTGTGTGCTCTTCTCCCGGGACGGTAGGTGAGGTGGCTGCTGTGCCCCTGAGCACGGGCGTAGGAAAATCCCTTTGTGCATCCCCACCATTGATTGGATTCCAGTTGGGAGCGTGCTTTTGAAGGCCATCTCCCAGGCGTCTCCACTTCCCTGATGTGGTTTAGCATCACACAGCTGTCGTGAAGCACACGAGCTGGATCTGTTTTGGGTGAAACTAAACCAGAAGACGTGTCCAGATTCGCCATCACCTGAAGGGAACAACCTGGAAACGCATTAGTGGTGGATGTCTGGTACTCTCTACCAACAATTTCACTTTACAGATCTGTTCCAATGAGTCATTGCCAGTGTGGTTGCAGCCTTTGTGAAGCAGCTTTACTAACCTGAAATATTTTGTATTGCCATACCTTCCCTTCCCCCCAAAAAAGGTGTTATTTTCCATGTTCAGATGTGGGAGCAGACAGCAGAACTTCCTCATTGCATCACTCCTTCCACCCAAAGATTTCAAAGCATCTTTAAGCCTGGAAGGTACATAGGCATTGCCCACACTTTAAGAAAAGGTAACAAAAGATCGGTAAAATAGTTGGTCCAAAATTACACAGCGTGACAGAAGCAAAATCAGAGCAGAAACCAGATTTCATAATTTCATTTTAATTTCATGTTTCATCATGAAAACATTGATCTTGTGCTTTAAGCTAACGACTATTATTCATTAAACAAATCTGATGTTTTATTAACCTTGCATAAAATTCTGTGAATGATATGAGCTCTCCTCCATATGTGGCGCTGGAAATACCCCACCATTTCTAGAATAATTCAGCAGTGGGGATATGAACAGAGCAGGAAGACCAAAAGGCAGTAAAAAAGCAAAAGGAAATTGGCTGCTGCTTTACCAATTTCCTGTTGGGGCTCTTCAGGCTGTATTGCTCAGGACAACCATTACTGAGAGGTTTGCAGCTCTGGAAAGCTTTTATTGACCTCTCTGTAAATACAAAATGGCCCGTGAATTAAATGGGAGGGTCACCACGAGGAAGTTCAACAGACTTGGCAGATTCTTGGGAATAAGCGAGAGCAGGGATCAAGAGGACTGATTGAAATCGTGCAGTTATTGTGCAAAGGATTCCTTTTCTTGGGACCAAGCTCCCCCGGGGTTTTCTAGGCCAGGATTTACAAGGCTAATGAAGGGTGTTGGTTTTTTCCCTTCTGCCACAAAAATTTCAGCTAAAGAGAAGCCAGAGTTACAAGCAACTGTCTTGCCGCTGAAAAGATGTCTGTCAAAGCTTTACATCACCCAAGAAATCCCCTTTTCCCCCCTCACGTGTGCACACACTATCCCTCCATCCCGTTGCATCCCTGCTCTTGAGATGGGAGTGGGACTTTGGTACCACCAAGCTCTGTTCACTTGGCCACACAGTTTTCCCTGTGCTGCAAGAGATTTCTCTAATTGTACCAAAAACTGAGCAAAATGAGCTATACAAAAACACTCGCTCTTGGATTAACTCTCTCTTCTTTTTCTGTTTTCTCCCTTTTTGTTAGCATCGAACAATCAATATTTTATTACCATTTCTTTTTATAAAGAGTCGAAACAACTTACAACTATTACCTCTACAAAATTCCCATGTTACCACATGAAACTGTTTTATCCACATGGGTATTGTATGTCCTTGATTTGAAATTAACTTTTTCTTCAATTAGTTAAAAAAAGTAGAGGGCATAAAGATTCTTCTGCACTTCTAAATGTTAAAATTTTTATTTGTTCTTTGCTTACCTTTGTTCTTCTTAATGGTCACTGAAACTTTGAAGACTTATTTGCAGTGAAGCAGTAGATTCATGATTTAGATCATAATCTCCTTGATAAAATCCTAAATTAAATGAACAGAGTTCTTATTACTTAAAGTTCCCAGCAAATTAGTATTGTGAATGTAAGAGAAAAGCCTGGCAATGATTGAAAAGATATCTGTGCTTTGTTCTTGAGATTTGTATGCTTTCAAGAAAAAACAAAATTATTTAATTCAAGAAGTTACCACTAACTTTGAAATTTCTGATATATTAATTTAATCTCAAAACTCTATATTTCACAGAGGCAGAAATCTCTAAGCTCTGCCGCTGATGCAGTTGTTTTTAAGCAGGAAACCCACTTTAGGACGTGCTGACAAAATCGGCTTCTCTGCTCCGTCCTCAGAAGAAAAACACAATTATTACAGTGTGCAAATGCTCATTTATCACATTTCATTCGTAGCAACGTAAAAGCCTTGGACAAGGACACAGAGTGGCTGAGATTTCTAAAATACAGATGTGTGGGAATCGCTGCCTGAGCCCAGTTGGGACCAAAAGTGAGAGCATAAAGAGGCAGGAGAGGAAAATTATTAGCTCTTATTCGAATGACAATTTCCGAACATATTAATGACCTTGAAGACTGACCAGGGGAGTCAGCAAACAAGTGTGTGTTAGAGGAGAGAGAACTTCTTCAAAGGGAGACATCTCATCTGCAAATCTCCTGAGTCTTCTCACATATGAAACAGAAAAGTTCGTAAAACTGAGCAAGTGGACAGGCTTCACAGAACCAGCAATTGATAAAATGTAAAAATCTATATTTCTTTTAATTTAATATAATAACCTGGAAATTTGAGGAGATTCTGCCACCTTTTTTTGGCCTTGAAGATGCAAATCTATATTTCTTTTAATTTAATATAATACCCTGGAAATTTGGGGAGATTCTGCCACTTTTTTTGGCCTTGAAGATGTGTATACAAAATCACTAATGCATTAAACCAATAACAGGTTTAGGAAGGTGGACTCCTATAGGACACACTATTTTTTTTTTGCCATAAAAAAGGAGGGTTTGGGGGGTGAGAAATCCTAACATAATAGAAATGCAGAGATGCCCAAAAACCTCAGGAAAAAGCAAGGGAATATGAAGGATGGATGCAAAAGCTTGCTTTCTCAATGCCTTCAGGCCTGACTTTATTCGTTTTGTTTTACCAGTCACGAGTAATTTGGCTACTCGATAGCTATGCAGTATCCTTTTTTAAGCCCCTGTGTTGACATTATGATCGCTTAAATAGCTAAAAATATGCTGATCCCTAGTGACACGCAACAGGGGGGAAAAAAACAAAACCAAAAAACAAAGAAAAACACAAACCAAACCAAAACAGAACAGGAAAATAATTTCAGAAAAATATTCAGAAGCCATCTGTAAATTGCTTCCATTTGTCATGCTTAGGAAGAGAATGCATTCTGCAGATCAAATCCTTTAATCCT